ATGTATTGATTTCTCTAAAAGATGTGATTTTTGGATTATGTTACAACATTTTTGGAAGATTGGAGCCATATAGTTAAATGATGTTTTTAGGAATAGATTTGATTATGTATAGATTAATTTGATTTATTTTGCGCCGCCCTTAAGATCGCCTTCCATTATGCTCCATGGAAGCGTTTTGAGTCATAGCTGCGCTATATTAATTGTATATATACATACTCTTTTGTATATACAATTGTTTATATGAAGAGTGTGTTATATGCTGGAGATTCTCTTTAGGGTTTTCCTTTAGCGAGTCTCCTTTTGCCTTGCCTAATTTTATGAGTCATATCCCTTTTTTTGGTTCTGTTTTTCCCAATTGGGATTATTGAACCAAATATACTTTTGAATGGCTCTAGTTGAGGTGGGGTGTACATTATGTTGTAATTTTTGTTTTATTAAATTTTCTTCTTATGGCAAGAGTGATGAAAACAAAATTAGATGTGTGAGAGGTGAATTCCTCTATGATCTCAATCATCGAGGCTTATTGATATTCTGACTTGCCTATATGAAGTACTTTCCATTTCAATATAGGAATTCTAGTGTGACGTTTTGAAGTTTGTTGTCTCAAATTAGTTTATACAATTTGTTTGGTTGCAAATGTTTGTCACTATGGTTAAAATGGAATGTTCTAGTTGATTTGTTTTGGAATTTTGAAGTGTCATGGTATTATGGAAACAAATACACCTTGAATAGCTCTTGTTGAGGCAGTGTGTAGATTATATTGCAAGCAGGTTTTTTAAGTAAATTTATTTATTATGGCAAGAATGATTGGAAACAATTAGATGTGCGAGGGGTGAATTCCTCTATGAGCTGAAACATCGAGGCATATTGATATTCTGACTTGCCTTTATGAAGTACTTTCTATTTTAATTTCGGACTTCCTATTTTAATGATGTAATGCAGACTTTTGAAGCTCATGGCCTCAAATTAGCTTAAATCATTTGTGTTGTTCTAATTGTTTGTCTAAGGTTATAATAATTGAATGTTCTAGTTGAGTTGGTTTATGATTTAGGAATGATCGATATTTTGGCATTGCAGAACTGAAGACGGTTTGAATAGCTCTTGTTGAGGTGTGGTGTTACATTATATTTCAAGCAAGTTTTTTTTTAGTAATTGCTTTGTTTGTTATGGCAAGAATGATTGGAAACAATTAGATGTGCGAGGGGTGAATTCCTCTTTGAGCTCAAACATCGAGGCATATTGATATTCTGACTTGTCTTTAAGAACTACTTTCATTTCAATTTAGGAAAAAAAGAAGTCCTTTGAACTTTTGTTCATAAAAGTCAGATATGAATTTAAATTGTTTTGAAATGAGAAAGGTGCCATCTTATTTGATTATTGTGCCAATTTTTGGGCTTATGCTCCTTGTTTCTATCTTAATCATATGAGATTATATAATCCTATTGGTTTCTGTAGAGCTTTTGTTGTTGTGGTGTGTACATTATCTTTCTAGTTCTATTATTAAATTTGTTGTTTGTTATGTCAAGAATGATGAAAAACAATTAGATGTGCGAGTGGTGAATTCCTCTGTGAGCTCTACCATCGAGGCTTATTGATATTCTGACTTGCCTTAATGTAGTACTTTCCATTTGTTGTTCTAAGACAAATTTTCAGCTGTAGAAACTTGTGGTCTTAATTATGCATTTGTGTGTTTGAAAAATTTGTCACAGTTAAAAATGTAAGGTGCCATCTTTTTGTTCAAACAAATAGATGCTTTGAATCTCCCTAATTGAGATGTGGTTTACATTATATTTCTACATTTATTCATAACATTACTTTGCTATGGCAAGAATGATGATAAACTATTAGATGTGCGAGTGGTGTATACCTCTATGAGCTCAATCATCGAGGCTTATTGATATTCTGACTTGCCTTAATGTAGTACTTTCCATTTGTTGTTCTAAGACAAATTTTCAGCTGTAGAAACTTGTGGTCTTAATTATGCATTTGTGTGTTTGAAAAATTTGTCACAGTTAAAAATGTAAGGTGCCATCTTTTTGTTCAAACAAATAGATGCTTTGAATCTCCCTAATTGAGATGTGGTTTACATTATATTTCTACATTTATTCATAACATTACTTTGCTATGGCAAGAATGATGATAAACTATTAGATGTGCGAGTGGTGTATACCTCTATGAGCTCAATCATCGAGGCTTATTGATATTCTGACTTGCCTTCTTAAAGTACTTATCATTTTAATCAATAGGAATATATTGAACTTTTGAAATTTGTGATCTCCAAATTTGCTTCATTATAGAATTTGTAAAGATTTGTCAAATTGTTTATGTTAGATTGGTTTCTTATTTAGCCCTTATTTGAAGTTACATATCAGGATATAGTATATACTTTTTATGGGGTCACATCCCTTGTAGGTTCTACCTTTTTCTTATGGAATTACAGAACCAAAGTCACTTTAAGTGACTCTAGTTGAGGTGTCTATATTTACCCTTTGTTATTGCAAGCATGATGAAAAACAATTAGATGTGCGAGGGGTGAATTCCTCTATGAGCTCAATCATCGAGGCTTATTGATATTCTGACTTGCCTTTGTGATTTACTCTTTTATGTTTTTGATTTACATGGTATAGATTGATCCCTTTAATGTGTTTGAACCTAGCTATGACTATAAAAGCTTATTATTAGCCGTACTAACAGAAATTTGAGAATTTCAATGTAAATTATTATCAAATATATAATTTGGTTGTTCTTTTGACATTTTTAGTTATTTTAGGCAGATATAGGAATGATGAATATCTATTGTGTGAAGGGAGAACTCCCTGTTGAATCTTTACACTAACCGCTTATTGATATTCTGACCTTTCACTTTTGACATTGTCTATTCATAATGTATTTGTTTTCACTCTTTCTTTCTCCTTGGGGTATTGTGTGTGTGTAGGTGATGTACCAATACACTTTGGTAATTCATTTTATGGCAAGAATGATGAGTCTATTAGATGTGCCAGGGGTGTATTCCCAATGAGCTAAAACTTCTGAGGCTTATTGATATTCTGACTTGCCAACTCAATTCAAGAACCTTTGTTTCCACATCATCTTACTTCTTTGTTCCGTCACACAGCCGATACAACATGTTTAGTTTGTCTGAGCAACAAATCAGTTTTTTGTGTCCATTCATCACACAAAGTTGATTTCTTTTTTTCTTTTGTTCGGCTTTTTATGTTTCAGAGTTTCATTTCCAGCTTGTCAATGGTAAGGAGGAGGAAATTACTATATGCAAGAGTCAGCAAATGACTCTATGAGCTCCAATATTTATGCTAATGTATTCTGACTTACCAAACTTGTTCCAATTTTATTTCCTTTCTTTTCTTTCAATTTTTTCTGATTTATTTGCTTTCTTGATCTCAAATTGGAGATGCTCAATTCCTGTTACTTTGTTAACCATGTTTTGTAGATTTACTAAACTCATTTATTCAGTTTTGACCATGTTTTGTAGTTTTTACCACTTTCCAGAATTGCTGTTTGCCCATCGTTCTTCTTCTACTGTTTCGTGAAACATTTGGAGTACTCCACAGTTCAAGTCTTGGTCAGCTAAGCTAGTCGACATGGCTATCAAGTATAGCTCGTAACACGACCTTGGTGACTCAATGATGTTAAGAGGTTTGACTGGTAGAATGACAAGCAAAGCACTATTTGTACTTACTTTTGTTGAATACAATTTATCAAAAACAAATTTGGTACATTTGAGCTTGTTATTGTCATACAATTTATTTTCGTTTGATCCACTTGAATCTGTTATAAGTTGTGTTTCATCTTTAGTAAACTCAAATGCAATGATGAGTTAATTTTATTGATAAATTTAACCCTTTCTCATGGTCTATGTTATTGAGAAAGTGCTTTGACAATATTTTGGATTATAACTATGATGCCCTATGACAATGCACTAATTTGAGGTAGTGTGTGGTTTGGAATCTTACTTTCCTTGGCAATACAGAGATCATAGTCATTGTATCAATTAGACGTGAAAAATGCCTTCTTGCATGGGGACTCTTGGCATCGATAATTCTTTATGGATTTTATAACAAATCGATTGAAGTGTAATGATCATATATGTTACTATTCACATTTGTCTTTTCACCCTTTGAAATGTAGTTGAAATGTATGATGGAAGTTGATGTAACCAAATATTGAACTATATATACATTCTATTATAGAAAAAGTAAGATACAAAGTGTTGAAAATTTACTTTTATCAACAAGTTATTTTGCAATTCTTTTATCAAGTTGAGTCTTGGTTAAGATATTAGAGAGAAATTTTACCATATCTTAACTCGATTAGTTTGATCATGTGACAGAGTTTGAATTGATACGTGAGAGTTTGAATCTTTACAACCTTAATTCAAGGACAAGGGGATCGTGATCCGTCCATAATCAAAAGAGGTGTGAGATGCCAACAACTGAAAGAAAAGATAGAGAAAACAATTGAACGAAATGATAGAAAACAGTTGGTTACATTTTAATTTGGCTCTCGAGAAACGAAAGATGAAAAATATGTTGATTATCCAGGAAATACCCAATGCACATCATATTATTATCTGAAACTATTGAGAGAGTTTCAGATAAGTTTTGACCAATTATTCCCTTTCATTGAAAAACTTTTTGTTATTAGTTGACATTTTTGTTGGTATAAAAATATTAAGAATAAAATAATAGATTTAAATTTAATTATTTTCAAACATTGAAAGGTATAATACAATTGTTTTTTGTTCGTATTTTCGTTTTAGTATCTTAAAATTGCTTTAAGAGTTAAGTTTCTGTATTGGCTTTTTTATAAACTTATTTTGCGATTCTCTTTAATAATCGAGTTTCCACCATAAACATTTACTTCAAAATATCACCAAATAAATACGCGATTGAACAAAACGATAAAGAACAACTATTTTGAAAGCAAAAACATAGCATTATTCTTATAAATTGAAAATAGAGGATAAATCTATATACATTATTTTTTTTGACTCAAGGGATATCTATCTAATTTGATAAACAAAAATAGAGTTGAAATATCAAAATAACAAACTCTTATGTCCATCAAAATCTCATATTTCCCCCCTTTTCCATAGTTCCTTTCTCCTAATTCTTTTTTCAATATTGTATCTTAGCTTTGCCCATACTCCATGCATCCAAAGTCTCAATTGTGATTGGCTCAGTTCCATTGTTGAACGCAAATAAATGTGCCTTCTCATTAATCGCCAATGTTGGATAAACCCTCGATGTTATACATGTCTTTCCACCCGCACCAAAACTTTCTATAACTGAATTATCAATCTACAAAAAAGAGTTTCAATAGTTAGAATTGTTTTCGTTTTGGGATGTGAGATAGATTTTTGATTAACGATGAAAGAAAAGTTACCAAGCTTCTGAGTGACAATTTCTTGTCAGCCAAATCAACATCCACAAATCCAGCAAATGAAACTTTGTACATTGTTTCATTGAACTTAAGAGTTGACCTATCAAACATAAACAAAAGATTTGTCAATTTCTCAAATATAATACTATCGAAAACGTTACCAATAAGTCAAATTCAATATATATACCTTTTAGCGTCAGAGCACAAGAGAACCTTGTAATTTTGTTGTGCTTTGAAAACTCGGAAGAAAACAGGTGTGTTTTCTTCCAAGTTTTCAGTAGCCAATGTAGCAAGACCAAATGGCCCAAGACCACCTTGTACATCTGCACCCTTGAGTCCACAAACATCTTGTGCATACATATCAGTCCAACTAGAATCAAATGACTCTGCTTTATCCAAACTTGCAAAAGAAAATGTCACTTCAACATCTGCCTGTCATATTTTTCATAAATTTTGAACATTATTAAATAATAATAATAATAATAATAATAATAAATAAATAAATAAATAAAAGAGTCTATATGTACCTGTGCAGGTGTGATTCCTGTAACTTCAACTTTTTCACCATTGTTCAACTTTTTGTTACTCAATTGAACCTTTTGGGTTCTTAGGGTTTCTAATTCTTCAACAGGCCATTGAATCAATTGTTTACCACTTGGATCAAGCCATACTTTACGTGGGATCAATTGAATTCCAGCCCATCCTTTCGCGTTATCATCCTCAGGGAATATATCTGATTCATTAGACCAACCCCAAATAACCCTTCGATTTTTGCTAGTATCATAGAAAGTCTTTGATGCATAGAAATTACCATAATCGAATCTCAATCCCTTCCAACTATCAATAGAACCAACATCTGGAACATACCTATCTTTTTTTGTATCGTACTTACCAAGAGTATAGTACTCAAATCGAGTAAGATCCATACTATTCTTAAGCACATATTTATATTCTTCACCATATTGATCTATCCCATTAGTTCCTTTCAATGCAACAGGGAAAAAATCAGGACATTCCCAATTTCCAGTACCGTTAGTTGAGTGAAGTGGGTGTTTAGCCTTAACCCATTTCATGAAATCTTTGCTTCTATACATTATAGCTAAACCCCTACTATGTTTCCTCAAACTTCCCATCACAATTCTCCAATGTCCATCTTTACCCATCCATGCGGTCGTTGGATCACGAAATTTGGTCTTGTTGATACTAGCATCAGCTACAATCAATGGATTGTTATCAGGTTTGATCCATTCACGGAGATATGGATCAGATAAGTTAGCTGGAATCGCGTAGTTTTGAACTTGAGTTTGGTTGGCATCTACTATTCCAGTGTACAAGATAACAGGCTTGTTACCAGGTAGAATAGTTGCAGATCCAGACCACGTACCGAATTGATCAAAGGGTTTGGATGGGTAAATTGCGGGTTCTAAATTGATCCAATTGATTAAGTCCTTTGAAACTGAATGAGCCCAAACAATATTGCCCCATACTGACCCGTTTGGGTTGTATTGGTAGAATAGATGGTAGACTCCATTGAAATACATTGGTGCTGTTCAAAATATGAAAAGCAATAACATAATAAGCAAAATTATTCTCTGGTATTAGATTATATTACTCCCTCTGTCCCAATTTATGTGACACATTTCGGATTACGAGATTCAAACAAGTGTATCTTTGACTGTAATTTTTTCCTATATCTTTTAAATATTTTGAATTATTAATTATTGAGACTTATAGTACTTTTTATGTAGTTTACAAATACATAAATTTCATTTTTAAAAAATTGAAAATTTCATGAGCAAATTCTCGGTCAAACTTAAACTGTTTGACTCTCGAAAAGCGAAATGTGTCACATAAATTGGACAGAGGGAGTATATAATAAAAATAAAATAAGTTGAAAAATATAATATATTTGACTTACCATTGGGATCTATTGTATGTTTTGAAGGCATCAAGAGAGATCATAAAAAAAAAAAAAATGATTAGTAAAGATTAAATAATATGAGAAACAAAGAAAAGAAGAAAATCGTACTAATACATGTCATGCATCTATTGACATATTAACATAACAGACATGATCTGATTATTTATTAGTGACAAATCTAGATTAAACACATGTTCGACAAATAATAATTTTTTTTTGGACATATATAAAGAAGAAAACACGCGAAAAAATGCGTATACATACCATTGATCCAATGTTTTTCTGGCTGAAAATGGTAACCAGTTCTATGAACAGTTTGAACATTTACAGCATTTTGAGATTGCAAATGAATAAAAACTTTGTGAGAAGCAAAAACAACATTATTGGATAATAAAACTATAAAAAAGCAAACTAAGATAACTGGCAAAGCCCAACGAGAATTAGATGAATAATCCATAGTTTTTTTTCTTTCAATAATTGGGCTTTGACAGATAGTGGTAATTAATCTAAATAATTTTTTTTATATTTTTTTTTGGATAGGGAGAAAGAAACTTGGGAATGAAGAATAAATGAAAATTATGAAGAGTATTTATAGTGAAAAAAATGGGTAGAATTTGTTTTTGAGTGAAAGATGGAGAGTTAATTTAGGATTTTTTTTAAAAATAAATTAAATGGATTGGATGATTATTTTTTATTTGTTTGGATAATATTTATCTAAAATTTTGGATAATTTGTTGGTTATTGTTACATTTCATGAGTCTGTTTTACTAATTTTTTTTTGTTAGAACAAGTCTTTTGCCATTTAATTTGCTATTCCGTTCTTTAATGTTTTGACTTTTGAGTGTGTTAAAAAAAAAGGGAATTCGAAAAATAATGCAAAATTTGGGATTTTTCAATTCACATAAATAAGATAAATGGGTAAATTTGTCTTTAAAAAAGATGAAAAAGAAGAGAAGTCATGATCACAAATAATGTCTAGTGGCGACTAACTATAATCACCACAAAAGGTTATCACCAGTTATGGCGAGTTTTTTGAGTCGTCACTTGAAATGTTGTTCTTTGTTATGATTGAGGAAGGAAGTAGTTTCCACAAAGGCGTCACAAAAACATGATTTCTTGTTACCTTGAAAATTATAAGTTTTTTTCACATTGTTTATATATGACGTGAAATTTGATCATATATACTATATCCCTACGGTGAAAAGAACCTAAAAGAATAATAAGTAACGATATTGTGCATCTCTTAAAATTAAAAATTAACTATCAAGTGTTTTTGAACAGATTTGACTATGAATGGAAGTATCAATTTCATCAAGTTACTCTATTTTGGCCATCTTTATTCATTTGTGTTTTTTTTTTTTTTTGAGATTGACTACTGTCCACTGACGGTGGACAAATAAATTACACAATCAACTCATTTTTAGAAATACTTATTTTTCTTCTTAGTTTAATTAATATATTTTCACATTTAATGATTAATGATTTTTTTCTTTCTTTTATTAAAACACGTTGAGGTTTATCATCTTTCTCCCTCTCTCTTTCCTACCTTTCTCATCTATGTCTTTGGATCTTCTTCTATCAATATCAAAATATGATGCAAAATTGATGAAATGGTGTGTCTATTTTTCCAAGTGTAAGACTACTACATTTGATTTTTGCAGTTTGTCCAATTCACTGAAAAGTTCTAAAAAAACATTATCTAAAAATCATTGTTACCACAAAACATAAAATTCTTCATACATTGGAACAAGAAAAGAAAATCTTTGAAATAATATTGAAATATTTTTTATACAATTGACTTTGAGTATTTACTAATTTAGATTCTGAAAAGGAAAATAATAATAAGTAAAAAATTATCATCTTTTTATCTCAAATTGCTTCAATTCCGTATGTCGATTGCTTTAATGGTGTTGAATGAGCGTAAAAATAATAAGGACAAAGCAAGCATGAAAGAATCCTTCGTCAAGTAAGAATTTTTAACAAACTCATTTAATTAATTTAGAGTCCAAGTTACTATATAATACTCTTTTTAATATTTTTTAATAATATTAATATTATGTGATTTTTTTAAAAAAAAATTGTTATGTATTTCTAAAAATGAGATGATAGTGTAATTTTTTTTTCTACTGTCAGTGGATATAAGTTAATGTCTTTTTTTTTTAAGGCTCATTACTCCTCTTCCTTCTTTGCTTTTATAGTTTGTCATTAATTAAGTATTCGATATTCTTATTTGTAATATTATTATAGAGTGTGTTATAAATTATACAATAATTATAACTTAGTTAGTTCTTTCGTCTTCTCATATTTTACATGATTGTTAATAGGGATTTGGTGTCTCAATAGAATTAGTAAGGTAAAAATTTGTCCTTTCGCTTACTTGCAGAGGCGGATCTACATATATCTTGAGAAACTAGTAAAAATAGAGAATATAAAAAAGAGTGAATCTTTAGAAGGCATTGATCTGATACGTTGTTGGAAGTAAGGGAGTCCATCCCTACGACCTAGAGTCGATTTCGGCCAACAACCCATTGTTTACTCATTTTATTACAAGTTAAAGAGTTTATTTATAATAGCAAAATTGCTAAAATAAGGGGATTCTAACTCATGACCGTTAAATACGACATTATTCGTTAGCCATCATTAACATTTTTGCTAATGCTTAAATTAAGATAATATTAATGCACCAAACTCTTTAAATCTTGGATTCACCTCTACTTACTCGTACTCTTCTCTTTGAACTTCTTATTATATTTGAATAAAATAAGTCACATAACAACTTGCCTAATATTACCAAATATTAGTTCTACATAAGACCACACATTTGATTGTGTAACAAAACAAAAAGGAAAGCTAACAAATTTCTTTCTTAGTATATATATGGTACTAGACAAGTCCATATACACACTCTTTGCCTTCTTAATTCACCAAAATAAATTAAGAGACAATTATAGAGGATTCTTGAGGACATCATCTACTGTTAAATTTGACACAATTTTTGTCTCTTTAGACATATATAGTTGTAGACATAATTCCTTTTTTTTTTGAAAATATTTAGTGCATCTTAGGTACATCCATGCTCCAAGCATTAAGAGTCTCAATTGTGATTGTCTCAGATCCATTATTGAAGACAAATAAATGTGCATTATTATGAATCGCTAATATTGGATACACCCTCGATGTTATGCATGTTTTTCCACCAGCACCAAAACTCTCCACTACTGAGTTATCAATCTGAAAAATATACATATGATACAAACTGATTAGTCTAACACATCCAAAATAATCGAATCTTAAAAGCTTGATCAAATAAATTATAAAAAAATAAAAAAATGATGAAAGCAAACTTACCAAACTCCTAAGAGATAACTTCTTCATGTCTACTAAATCTACATCTACATATCCAGCAAATGAGGGCTTGTACATTGCTTCATTTTGTCTCATGGTAGATCTGCTCATTAATAAAGAAACTAAACAAGGTTAGAGTTTTTTAATGACACTAATAAACAATCGATAAGTAGATGTATTTCTTATCATGATATCAAAGTCGGGTCATTATAATTCTTGATTTACTCAAATTTTGTGCTCCTATATTGAGTTAACTATGTAAACTATGATCATTACAACTAATTCAATTGAAGAAACAAACCTTCTAGCATCTGAACACATGAGAACCTTATAATTCTTTTGAGCCTTAAACACTCGAAAGAAAACAGGTGTGTATTCTTCCAAGTTTTTAGAAGCTAATGTCGCAAGCCCAAATGGTCCAAGCCCACCTTGGATAGTTGAACCCTTTATGGCACAAACATCTTGGGCATAAAAGTCGGCCCAATTAGGATCAAATTGTTCAGCCTTGTTCAAACTTGAAAAAGAGAATGACACTTCAACATCAGCCTACAATCAAAGAAATGCAAGATGAGACGGAGCTAGTATCTTAGTATGTAAAAGGACAATTTATATAAGGGATTTCAATTTTTTTTCCGACTAACGAAAAATATTTCACTCGTTCAATTGCAATAATTTATAACTATCGCCGATATATATATAACAAATGTATAATTAATCTACTATGTATAGACCTATCATATGAAATTGATATAATAGTTATACATTGATTATACATTTGTCTACTAATTAAAATTACTTTTAGTTGGGGTATTTAAAAGACTATAGTTTAATAAGGAAAAATTAAAACCTGTGATGCTGAGATTCCTTTAACTTCAAACATTTCTCCCTTGCTCAACTTCTTGTTGTTCAATTGAATCTTTTGCTTTCTCAAGGTTTCTAATTCTTCAATAGGCCATTGAATCAATTGTTTACCACTAGGGTCGAGCCATACTTTACGCGGAATAGCTTGAATTCCAGCCCATCCTTTCTTAATTTCATCGTCAGGTAAAACATCTGATTCATTTGTCCAACCCCATACAATTCTTCGATTCTTCATAGGGTCATAGAATGACTTAGATGCATAGAAATTCCCATAGTCAAGCCTCAATCCCTTCGAACCATCGATAGAATTGTTATCAGGAATGTACCTATCTTTTTTGGTGTCATACATACCAATAGTGTAATACTCAAACCTATTAACATCAAGGCTATTCTTAAGGACATGTTTGACATTTTTTCCGCGATACGATGCATCTAAGCCATTAGTATTTTTTAATGATACAGGGAAAAAATCAGGACATTCCCAATTTCCAGTATGAGGAGATGAATGAAGTGGATGTTGGGCTTTGGCCCATTTAATGAAGTCTCTACTTCTATACAATAATGCCATCCCTCTATGGTTTCTCATACTTCCTATTACAATTCTCCAAAGCCCATCTTGGCCCATCCATGCGGTTGTTGGATCACGAAATTTGGTTTTGTTGATGCTATTGTCAGGTACAATCAACGGGTTGTTATTAGGTTTGATCCATTTACGAAGAAATGGATCAGACAAGTTAGCCGGGATTGCATAATTTTGAACTTGAGAATCATGAGAATCTACTACTCCGGTGTATAAGATAACAGGTTTGTTATTTGGTAGAATAGTTGCTGACCCGGACCAAGCACCATATTTGTCAAATTTTTTAGATGGATAAATTGCGGGTTCTAAATGGATCCAATTTATCAAGTCTTTTGAGACTGAATGAGCCCAAACAATATTGCCCCATACTGATCCTTTTGGATTGTATTGATAGAATAAATGATATACTCCATTATAATACATAGGTGCTGTTCAAAAATAAAATGAAAGTCAATAATATAATTGAGTTATTGATAAGTTGTGTATATATAGCATATTTAGGAAGAATAAATAAAAAATAATAATCTAACTCACCATTAGGGTCTTTGTATATTTGAAAGGTATCCAATGAAGAGAGACCATATAAGAACAAAAGAATTTTAAAAAAAGAAATGATTAGTGAAGAAAATAGAATGCATTACATAATTAATCAATAATTGAGAAATAATCAAATACTATAATAATTAACAAATCAAAGGTGAAAACACAGAAATGTAGGAAATACAAAAATGACTAATTAGTTGAATCATTTTAATTTATATGGCGTAATTTGATTTAATACGTAATTTAAAAAACAAAGAAAAAATATTTAAAAAATTATGATCTGAAACATGTCATGAGATTTATTGTGACTATAAAAACATATATATCATGTAGAATGATAAGTGTAAGTTTAAATATAGAAAATAGCCATTCTTTAGATGACAAATTAAACAAGAAAATTGTGTCACATAAAAAATGAAATTGATGAAGTAATTTTTTTTAGGGTGGGGTGGGGTGGGGTTGGGGGTTGGGGGGAGTTAACTTTATAAGAGACAATATGTTTGGCAAGTTTTAATTAATATAAGACCTACATATTAAATGTATACAATATAGGAGTATGAAATGTCACTATATGTCAATACTTTAATAATAATAATAATAATAATTTAGAAGGAAAAATATAAGGGAGAAGAAAATGCCAAGGGGAATATAAAGGGTGCCTCCAACAAATTAATTTTCACCTTAATTCCATGGCCAAAATCTTAGGTTAAAAGAACTTTTTCATATATTTCATGTTTCTTTTTCTCTTTTGCACATTCTTATCCAAAACCTTAGCCTTGTAGTTGTCTTGCCATAATAATTAATCTAATTTCGATTTTAAATTTTAAAAATTGAGTCATCGATCGTTGATCATGAGCGATTTTGTTCTCTAAAATAGAATATTTAGACACAAATTTAAATTAATTGCACTTCAAAAACGAATACTGAATACTGAATAATAGAAAACTAACACAAATGAACCATATAATTATGTATGTGTGTGTATGTATACATAATTTTGAAATATCAAGAATGATCAATCTTATATATATGTAGCTATAAAGATCAGTAAAAATAATAATATTTTTTTAAAATGTAACAATAAAAGAAACAGCAACATTTGAACTTCTCAATATAAAAGTAATCGTTTTTTTCTGAAAGTTTTATCACCTATATAATGCAATATTAATCTTAACAAAATTGCATCATCAATTAATTTATTCGTACTCATATTTATATCAAGTCAATAGATGTATGCCATGTATTTATATGCAAACTTTTATTACTATACATATGTACATAAGCAAAGTCATATATTCAAACGATTTTAAGTCAAAATTACGATAATAAACCGCATTATTTAAGTTAAATTTAGCGTACGTCACATAAAGTAAAAAAACGAAAGATAAACATACCATTAATCCAATGTTTAGGAGGATGAAAATGAAAACCAGTTCTATGAACATTCTTGACACTAATAGCACTTGAAGATTGCAAGTCCAAAAAAACATTATGAGAAGCAAACACCCCATTAATGTTTGATAAAACTATAAAGAAGCAAAATAAATAAATTTCTAAACCCCAAAGAGAAGAGCTTTTCATAAATAATTCCATTTTTTTTTGTGATTTTGGAGAAAGATATTGAAGAATAATGAAGAAGAAAAGAAAGAATGTTGGATTATTTATAGACAAAAACCAACTATGATGAGTGGATAAAAAAACGGTTGATTTTTATATTTTCTTTTTCTTTAATTAAAATAAAATGGATGTAAATATATTTTTCTAAGATAAACTTCAATTGTATAGCCGTTTTTTTCTTACACAAGCCTTCTCTATCTTTCTTTCTTTCTTTTCTAAGTTTAGTCACGAAATCAGAATTTTCATTCTACGAAATTTATTTTTAATGTTTGTCTTGATATATGTATTATTATACATTTTTTTAAAGAATACTCATTCATTTTTTATCACGAGGATTGAAATCATGCAAAAATTCAAATTCATAAAAGTGAAGAGTCGTGAGGGATATTTGGAAAAGTCAGACTGATCAAGTGTCTTCATTCAAGCGACAATATAAAAAAAGAACGAAATGAAATTGAAGCCAGGGAGGAGGGGGGGTTTAATTTACGATAAAATTGAAGAGATTCAATATTTACTATATAAATATAAAATATAATTTTAATCTTTATATATAAGGTGTAATTTTTTATTGAAGAAAAGTCAATCTATGCACCCGAATTTTTATATTACCAAAGTAAAGTTAATTTGCATGACAAAGTAATTTAACGTATTAAGCCTGATGTAATAATTTACAATTGGAGTATATATAAGACTCTTGGTAGAAAAAGTAATCTTATTCTATATGCATCGATTACATAAAGATTATCACATAATTAAAAGATCACTTTATGTTATAAGTACAAATTTAAACAGTCTAATCTAATGTATAGAGAACTACAGAAGGGACCGTTGATTGACGAAAATTAATCATATATAAATTGTTTGCTTTGCCTTACGTCGGCAGAGCCAACATACATAGGGTAGGCGAAAAATATTACTATTTATATATGGTTAATTTTTTTTTATGTATATATAGTAGATGTTGAACCCCTTCAGTTAGTTCATGTGTTTACTTCTTTAGATTTTGAACCCTCTTATTAAAAATCCTAGCACCGACACTGACTTTCAAGATATTTTAGAATTGCCACATACCAATATATGTTCAAATTTTACCTACCTTCTCCCTCCAAAAACATTAAAATTAAAATTAAAAAATGAAACCTAATGCCAACCTGCACCTAACTATATTCACATAATTAAAACTTGCCTAATGCTACCAATTATAGTATCAACTATATATATATATAAGCACGGATTTTGCAGGATTCAGTAATTTTAGCATAAATGTTAGTATATTTATATTAAAGTTCCACTTATATATATAAATAATTTATCGAATCTGATAAATTATCTCTTTTAAAATTCAGAACGCTCATAAATTTAAAATTACTACTCCACCTTTGAGAAGAATTTTGACTATGGACCATAATCTTTTTATAGGTGACTTGAACTCATAACACATTAAAGTTGGAGATGAAGGGCGATTATCATTGCATAGCAAAAACAATATATTTTTTTAATGCACAAATTATATAACATATAGTTGAAAAGACCATTTGTGTGGAATATATGATGAAAACAACGACAATGTAGAATTTAAGCACAATGACATAAAAATCGTGTGGAATTCATCCTTTTCGATGAATAAATTGATCAATACTAAAAAGAACCTAAATTGACGATGTAATTAGTTAGAAATCTGTCAGAAATATTATTGTCAACGTAACTCGAATTTTAAATAATATGTAATCAGGATATTTGAGTTTCAAAATAAAATGGATAGGATCACAGTAATTATTGAAAAGAGAAAAATGACAAATATACCACCGAACTATGGTAACTGGTATGCAAATACCCTTCGTCATATTTTTGGGACATTGGTGCCCCTACCGTCCAAAAATTAGAGCATATATGTCCTTCACTCTAAGGGAAGACTAAATAGGAATACATGGCGCAATCTTATCCATCGATCTAATATTTAATAAATGTCGGATTGGTGGATAAGATTATGACACGTGTATGTCCGTTAGTATAAAGGGTATATATGCTCTAATTTTTGGACGACAGGGGAATCAATGTCCCAAAAATATGGCGAAGGGTATCTGCATACCATTTATGATAGTTCGGAGATATATTTATCCTTTTTCCGTATTGAAAATGAAAAAAATGGATAGATGAATAGGTGATGAATATGCATAACAACAACAAAGTGCATTACACATTACATTTGTTGATGAATTTGGCTAAAAAATTTACTTTCTACTTTTCATTTGCTTAAATATGTCTTGCAACATTTGCAGTTAATGGCTTTTCCACCTTTGAATTTCTTAGTGGATTCCATTGCCAAATATGTGTGAATTGCATTTAGAAAAAAGTATAAAAATTGTGGATTTTTTTTTTTACCATAGTCCTTAGACACTAATTAATCAAACTCAGAAAGCTATCTCATTAGGTAAAATTACACAAAAATAATACCTTTGGAGCGTGAACAACATATAACATTGGAGGCCAACATTGGTAAATCAAGGAAAAATTCAAAAATATTCATTTTCAGACTTATAATTGAAAAATAGCTGAAGATTAAAAAATTATTGAAATATTCAATTTTTGGGATTCACGAATCTCATGAATTTCATAAATCATGTCAATATCTTACTTGTTTAAGTTCGAAATATGTGACACTATAATGGTGTTTTTGCATTAAAAGTGGCTATTTTTCAAAGATTTTTTAGACACCAGATATTTTCAACTTTAGTAGCATGTAAATGAAAATAGATCGTATGTTCATATATAGATAGACAACTCAATAACTTTGACAAAAACCACATACACGTTTAAATAGTTTACTAAATAAATACAAATAGTATACCTCAAACGTTAACCCTATAAATCAAATGAATGGAAGAATCTCAAATTCAAATCTATAATGATATTCAATTCTGAATCCGCCCCTACTTAAGCATTCTTTCATCAAAACACAAGAAAACTTGATGATAAGCTTCCTACATGCACTTCCACTAAGGTTTTTGCTCAGTTGATGACAAGTTTTCACAATAACTTTGGAAAAGTCAAGTACAATCTTAACACAATTTGGTGATACCTCAAAAAGAACCAAGTGTAAGATATGCATTTGGTATTGGGAATTTGGCAATACAAGTGCACCTCCAAAATTGTTGCAACTTCTATATCAAAACTTTTATGTTGCACTAGTTTCCCTTACCCATAAATACCTAATTTTTATAAAAATTAATTAATAAATTTTTAGTTCCCATGTCAACATGATGTAACAATCATAATCTTGAAAAATAAAGCTCTTCCTTTAAATATATATATATATAGTAACAATAACAAAAGACGATTTTGTTTGTGTGTGATTACCTGATATGTGAAATTTTCTGGCCAAACTAATTTTATTTGCGCCAAATAAGGCTCAAAAATAAGGAAGCGCTCTCTATAAAAAGTTTCTCCATTCTGAAGGCTCAAACAAGTGTTTAAATTTTTAATTTTTATGAAGCTACATCAACAACAAATCTTTTTTTTGTTTTTTGTAGTATTGCTTCTACGATCTAAGGAGCAACATTGAACGTCATGATCCAAACGAAAGTAAAAAGACTTCTGATTCCTTTTAGTTATTACTATTTTCTTTTCCTTCTTTTTTTACTTAAAAAGAAAGGAACTTAATTTTTTTTTATGTGCAACCTATTTCTCATGGTTCATGCAAATTAATAGATTAGTAATAAATAAATAAAAATTATTCTTTTCACCTTTTACTCTAGAAGTAGCCCCATCATTTTTAGATTTAATTAGCATATAGGTTTAAGGGTATGCTTTTTTTTTTTTTTTTTAATTTTTGTTTTGCACTGTAGTATTGCTTCTACGATCTAAGGAGCAACATTGAACGTCATGATCCAAACGAAAGTAAAAAGACTTCTGATTCCTTTTAGTTATTACTATTTTCTTTTCCTTCTTTTTTTACTTAAAAAGAAAGGAACTTAATTTTTTTTTATGTGCAACCTATTTCTCATGGTTCATGCAAATTAATAGATTAGTAATAAATAAATAAAAATTATTCTTTTCACCTTTTACTCTAGAAGTAGCCCCATCATTTTTAGATTTAATTAGCATATAGGTTTAAGGGTATGCTTTTTTTTTTTTTTTTTTAAATTTTGTGGATGTCAATTAGAAAATCTAGAGTTCACATTTTTATAATCATAGCTACAAAAATGGAAAGAGGAGTTTGCATCTATTTTGAAGTCTTATTATATAGTGTGGTGGAGAAAAAGTGGATGTCGATGTAATAATAAAAAGTAGGGTGTTCACGATTCGATTTGAATTAATTTTTAGTTAAAATTAAAATTAAATTAATTTAGTCCTTTTTTAATTTATTAAAATCAAATTAATCAAATATAAATTTACATTTATCGATTTAATTATTATCAGTTTTGGGTGAATTTGATTCAATTGTTCAGTTTTTAATCATACAAAAATATATATACTCTTTCCTTCTTATATATTTTGTTTTAAATTTTTATTATAAAGTGTGGGGGAGAATAAGTGGATGTTGATGCAACAATGAAGTATTTAACAACATTGCATATTTGTAACCATTTGTACATTGATTCTTGGATTTAATGATTAAACAACAAGTTGACTCTAATTTGAATAATGAAAAGGGGTTTGAATAATTTTGATATTCTCCAAAAGTTATTTAATTTTATATTTTAAAAGCCAAAATTTTAAACTATGAATAAAAAAGTGCTTGGTAATGAACATCGAGTCTTTATGACATTTGTCTAAAATCTATAGTAATCTTAAATTTGAATATGATCACACAATTCATTAAAGTAACAGAGTAGATAGAAGACAAAGTCATACAATCTCTTGATTTTTGGGGTCCAAGTAAGCGTTTGTATATGAAATGAGTTATATTTGAAGAAAAAAAACATTTAAAGTTGAAGTTGAAAAAAGATATTTGAAAGTTGAAATTGTATTTAGAC